TTCCAACCCAAACCGTCCCGTGATTGCTGTAAGATGCATCAAATAATGAATGCAAATGCAAAAAGAGCTCCCATCATGTATTTAAAGCAGCATGTGTTTCCTGCCGATTCCTTCCCATCAGATCCCTACTCTGGCAATTCTCGGTTGTCTTTTTGATACGGATATTCCAAAAGAACATGCACCCATTTTACCATCATGGCCACTTTTGCTGTGTTATACCATCAACACCAAGTTGCATCACACTGCTACACCTGCTAGTATGAACAGACCATTGCTGGTGTGCATACTAGGGGATTCAAGATCTTCATGGGATGTAACAAGTCATCCATAAGTTTCTACATCACTTCCTCTGAAATGATTACAGCTCCTCTGCCCAATTTGGTCAGGCCCTCTACACTCCTGCACTGATTCAACACCCTGTTTAGCTCCAACTGAAGAGGAGGACAGAAGAAATTGCAGGAAAATCTCTTGATGAGGACAAACGGTGATGTATCGGGCTTTGCACAAGAACATGGCAACAGATTTTTGGTATGTATTAAACAGGAACATTGAAATGTACTGGAAACGTAGTTCTAGGTGGTTGTGTGTGAAATGATATTCACCTTAGCTCCAAATTCAACCAGATTTGCTAAATTCTGCACAGACTTGGCGACCAGCGTCAGCGTTCTTGCAGCAGTGGGGGAAGGAGAATCTGGCAGGAATACAAAGCAGACAGTTACTGGGCATTCCATTTAAAACTAAACAGCAGTCACATGCAAGTAAAGCTCTTCTTCAGTTCGTTTTTTTCTCATGGAATAAAATATTTTTCGTATTACAACAGAACTGCATGTAGAAGATGTCACTTGATGAAGTAAAACTCACGTTGCTTAATAACATTCACAAAAATGTTGATCTGAACATCCGTTTTTCTGTTACAGTTGCATACAGAACAGGTGTGCAGAATAAAACGGTGTTAGTAAGGGTGAGGAAGTAAGAACCATTTTCACAAAAATGAAACAGTTCTGTTGAAAGGAGGATTGTTTGTTGTTAGAATAAAAAAGAATATTAGTTTTAAAATTCTAAAATAAACCCTTTAGAAGTTTAAGTTTTTAGACCTTTTAAACCTGAAAAGTTTACCTTTTTCCTTATTTGCATATACCCACATAAGTGGGCTCTGACAAGGTAGAAAAACTACACTTTTAAGTCATCGTGAAAACAGAGTGAGCCTGAGATACAATCGTGGCTCCTGTTACCATGAAATCACAGTCACTTGCTGTAGGTAGCATTACACTTTAACCACTTCGTCAGTTAAAACTTCCTTTTCCAACAAGTGATACCACCCAGTAGTATCTTACAAAATTATCCCTCCCCCCCAGTTAGCAGTAAATGGCCTGGTTGGAAGCCAGGTTTGAGGTGTTCAAAACTGACACGGTTATTTTCTAAGTTCTAAACTTTGTAGTTCTTGCCAAGAAGGCTATTTGCCCTTCATAGTCTACCTGCATGATTTGGTGTTCTTTCTTCCCCTCCAAAATCCACTGGGAAGTAAGTTACAACTTTTCCTGCACAGCTGGAGCCATGTAACTGGCTCCAGGTATGGAGGAAGAGCTGTTCCTTGTACTTGCTTGGTGCAGTACAAGCCTCTGAAGCAGCAAGGGTGGAAAACATCGCTAGGCTTGGAATCTGGAACTTCAGCTGAGGAGAACTGATCTAAAGAAGTAAATTACTTCAAAAAACTCAAAAGATGCTTGAAACATGATTTAAGGTTTGAAACAAAGACGATCCTCCCCCCAAAATCACAGTTGTCAAGGTGATAGGACTGCTGCTGATACTGAGCTGCACCTATACACCAGCCTTCAGAATACTTTTTTCCCTGTTATGGGAAGAAGGTTTGTTGGAAGCTTTGCTGCGAAAGGAGGACTCCTCCATCCCTTTTTTAGAACTGCTTCGAAAGCCCTACACAGATCCTGTAAGATCACCTTAGCAGCAGTCTCGAATATTAGCTGGAGGTACATGGGCAGGACTTCAGTGCTGACAGACAAGCTTAAAAGGGATTACTCTTACTTACATCCCAGTTTTTACATCAGAATCATAGAATCATAGAAGACACAGTGCAGCCCAGGTTAGGAGGTACCAAACTTGCAAACTACCCGAAGATAACATAACCCTAAAGAAAGGGTTACTGTCTACCAGGCCACATTTCTCAAATGCTTTCCCCAAAACGTGTGGAAATGATTACTGGGTGAGAGGAAGGAACCTCCTGTTCTACACAGCCCTTCTGATTTAGTATAGCGTAAAGAGAGGCAAAAGAAAACATGCTAGTTGTTTTTTCTTTATTCATAGAGAGTTTTTAAGACAAGAAAGAAAAAAGGCTTTTCTGAATCAGATTACTGATTTCCTTCTATTTCCAAATCAGCATTTTACTCTGCCAGGGAGGGAAGGAGGAACAGAAATGGTTAGTGCAACTAAATGCCCTCTAGCTTGGGGTGATCTTTGCCAAGAAAAAAAATGGAAAACAAAGGCAAAGCACAACATATGAAAACTTTTAAAACTCAGATGTCCAAATATTTTAACTTCAGTAGATGACTTTTCAGTAGTTTATGCTTTTTTTCCTTTTCTCCTCCCACAGCTAAAAATGCCCACAAACATTTGGCAACTGCAAAATGGTGCAGTCTGGGGAAAGCACCACTGCAGCAGTGTGCCAGATGTAGTCCCTAATGGGAGCCACTACCCGTATCAGCCCTTGCACTGTTCTGGAGAACGCTGTCTGATACCGGCCAGTACTGACCACAGGCCAGTACAGCAGTTCTGCAACCCTCCTCTACCAAACCAGGATGTTCCCCGCTGCCGTCTGAGTTCACCGCTGTAGACGCACTCTGCCACGAGAGCATCAGAAGCCACGCAGTGAGAACATTCAACTTGGGAGAGCCCACGGGAACTCTCCCATACGTGGCCTTGAAGTGCACCAAGATCACCACCGCAGGTCTCAACAACCCACCCCGCTCTCTCCCTTGTGATTCTGTGTTTGGGGCTGACTGTCCTTCGTGAGTCGAAGTTAAGACTCCTCCAGTGGCCGGAAGCTGTCTAAGCAGGACGTTCAAACAAGTTCCTGAAGCATGATTTTCTGGGGATGCAAATGTATGTAGAGCTCTGCAGACACATTGTCACCTTTACAGGCCTTGGTCATTGAAAAGATACCACTGAATTTCCACCATTAACTGTGGATTCAAAGTGACATCTGAAGATCACACATGTTTTTCAGACTGCTGGAATATATTTATTGCTACACTTTAACTCAAAATTGTATTATTAAATCACAGAATTCTATGACTCTGAACACCACAACGCATGTTTTTCTGAACCTTAAAATGACACTGGGGACAACCACAATTGAACATTCGAGGGTGAAAAGCACACGCCAGCTGCCTTACAGATAAGCCAGTCAAGTGGTGTGGGTAACATGACTGGACACAGCGTTCAAAAGAATATTTCATATTTTGCTACATTAGACACTACAGTAATTTCATGCCTACTGCTGTATAAAGTATGAATCTGAAGCATATAGTCACCTGAGATGATATTAAACATCCTTGGGTTCAGGATAGCAGGACAAATCAGTCGAAGAAAAACAAAGCCACTGAAATGGGAAGAAAATTGTATTTTGTTCAATAAAATTAGATAATTAGTGTAAAATTGTGCAGTCTTTAAGGATTCAGGTTAGCGTGAAATCTTTGTGAGACAGAAACCAACCAACCAGCCTGCGCTCTGTGAATACATTAACCAGTTAAGAATACCATGCTGTGACTTCAGCTGTGATAAAAGCTGGAAGAATAGGCATGTTGCTTTCCCAGCTTAGGTGAATAATTGAAACCATGTGGGAAGAACTTAATTGTAAAGTCATCCTGAAGCCAATCTTGGACTACGCTGACTTCAAAAAGGAGGAGCCCCTGGTCTCTGACCTCCCAAAGGGTTTCTGCTGCCTGCTACAGCAAGGCATCCATCCTGCAGCCACCCGCTCTCCCAAGTCCATCTAAGGAGGTGCACAGGAGGGCGGACAAAGGGAACTTCTCCCTTGGTGGCGACACTGCCCTAGGTCAGCTTAATTTGATCCACATCCTTGTGACAGTACGCTACGGTAGGGAATTAATAAGGGAACTGCTGTTTTCCTCCACACAGTCATTGCTGTCATCTAGAAAAATGGAAAAAACACACTGTTTTGACTGCTGAGCTAGGAACTCGTTCAACAGAAACCCAGAATTGCCTTCAGCAGCATGAGCAAAACCCTAAATTTCTGTTCACAACAGAAGTAAAAAACATCCACCTCAGGTTAACCTTAATTCCAGCTAATGGCTGTACGATGAAGGGACACATGGACCAACTAAAGCAATCTATCTAAGTCATCTTTAATTGCGTTCAGAGTGCTTGGACACTGCCAGCAGACTGGCTTTCACTGCAGCAATACCAAAGCCTGGCCCCTTACACTACTTTGCCTGTTCAGTACAGAGCGATGGTAATGTCCGCATTACTTGAGAAAGACACGTGGTAGCGAGGTCAATGACCTTCCCTATGTCCAAGACACCTAATACAGACTGTTACAGATGTTTCCTACTTCTCCAAGAACCATGAACTATAGGCTGATAAGACAACTGTTCTTGGCCATGTGCAAAGCTAAAATATTTCCTATAGTGTCAATTTAAAGCTACGAGGAAGTAATTAATTTTGAATTCATGGCAAATGCACCGATTCCTCTTTTGAAGTGTCCAAAGTTGAACCCCCGGTAGTGTTGAAAGAAAGCATCATGTCCACATCTTTGTCAAAGACCTTTGTTTGACCTGCACTGGCCAGGGACAGTGTTTGAGGAAGAACTTGTGTACTGCATTGGGTTATGAATGTACGTGGGAGTTTGTGCATCTGCTGCGGGTTCAGTAACCTCCTGCATCACTTTTAGAGGAGCTCTGGAATGTTTCAGTGTCACTGGGATGGAGCAGAAAAATGAAACAAGACTGGGACAGCACAACATTAGGCTGTTTTTGGAAACCAGCACAGGGTGTTGATTCAGAGTGATCGGAAGCAGCGGCCCAACACCAGGGACCGGGAGCCTTCTCCGATGGAGAAAACTACAAATCCCAGCGCAGACAGTACCTCAGCGGAATCTAACTACAGTCCAACTGTCTTTATGGGAAGTTATCAGACTCCTTACAGTGTTGGGTCTGTATCTTAAAGGGCATGGATCTTAAACCATGTAAGATTTCTCCAGCTGTTAACACATGGTTTGTGTAAGCCCCTGGGTAAGGCACAGTCCTCCCGGAGCACGTGACAGGAACATGATCTTCAGAGGTCACTGCTCTCTACAGGTATCACAGGGGTTAACCATTGCTTTGAGAAGTTTTTCTTTGCCAGCATCAAAAAGGAAATCACTATTTTACATTAGTTTGTAAAACCTGACAAAACACAAGTAAATTCAAAGTTAAAATTATTAAGTAAAGCTATACTGACCTCAGTACTACATCATCTTATTCTGGAAAGGGTCTAAGAATGTGATTAAGAATCTAGCGAGCTCATAATCCTTAACTGGGATATCATGCCTCAGCATCATTAGTATCTTAAATACTGCTGTAACCTGTGTCAGTACTACAGAGTTTTGTCACTGGAAGAAAGACATAAGCACACTGAAGTACGCCTTTAACAAGACCTGACGAGATTATTTTCAGAATGAAGTGACAAGTCACTTACCTAACAACTCTGGTTCTCATGGTGGTATTAGCTGGCCACTTGTTTTGGACAGACTTCTGTAGGCACCCATAAATATATCTCAATGTCCTGCAAAAATTGACGGCTAATTACTCATTACATTAAACTCACAGAATCAAAAAAAAAAAAAAAAAAAGCTATCGGAAAGGATCGAGACCAACTCCTACTTAATGCAGAATTATCATCAGCTCTACGCTTACAATTTAGACATGAGCTTTAAAGTAACTTGAATTAAGAGTTCATTTATAAGTTAATACATTCATTAAAAAATACAAATTTGTATTAAAAAGTAAATCTATAAATGGCAGGAAAAAACCTTCACTAATAACCCAATTCTATATGCAATTCAAGGACTTTCCAGATGTGTACTGAATATTTTATGACTGTCTACTTCATATTTCTTAAGTAGTATTTCCTTATCAAAAAGACAATTTTGATGGTCTGATTTCCACACACCCCCTCCCCTCCCAGTTTTTCTCTATTTAACAACTATTCTTTCCATAAATAAGGGTTAGGTGTTTAAAAGTTACACAACCGCAGCAACAGTCCTCTCACATAAAAATATTGGGAAAATTCTGGCATAGCTCAGAAAACACTGAGAGCTGCATCGTATATACTTACACTTCTAATGCTAACCTTGCCAGCACTAACACAAAATAAACATTTCTGTGCTACTCTGCCATCTCAGAACTGAAGATTTTGTATACTTCAAAAGCTAATGACACAGCGAAAGAAAAGTGTTAGTACTATCCACTTTTTATTAGATGGTTCAAATCCAAACTGTGAACACAAGTTATCTTTGCAATTAAAAAAGAAAAGAACAACCTCTCCAGTCAGAAGCAATCACAGCACCGCATCATTCTATTACTTGCTTGTGTTTTTAATATGCTGTTAATAATGCCACCTCTTTCTCAGTGGAGGACAACTGGAAAGAATTTGTAATCAACTTAAATGTACACAATTTTCTGCTGTCTTCTACCTTTTGCAGAACACGAGACATTATTTTTGTTACTCTCCTCTCCCTAACCTCTTGGGTCTAGCAGCTTCTTCTTCAAAGAAAAGCACACGTGCTAGCCACAGGCTTTTGCAAAAACACACTATTAATCCCTGAAATGAAAGTGTTATTTTTTTCCCTGCCTCTATTCCTCTGTGTGCATACAGCAACCCTACAGACAATAGTTGTGTGACTCATTAGCAGAAGATGAACCACTGAGAACATCACTTTAAGGTGCAATGTAATTCACACAAACAGGAGTTTGCAAATACAAATCTGAACAGAAAAGTAAACACTTACGGTGGCAGTATCTCTGCAGCCATGAATATTTTCTCAACCAATTCTGAAAGTATGCTGAGTAGATGTGCCAAATTAGTGTTCACATCTTCATTCTTTTCTAACTTGGAAGGATTTAACTAAAACAAAAAGGAAAAAAAATTAGATTTCTTCTCCTAATCAGAACTACATCTCTAGTTTCATAATTTCACACACTGAATATTACAAACATAAATTCAATATTCTGACCCTGTACAAAGTCTCTTACGGCAGTCACAAGTCCATTTTAATGGCAAGTCAGGAAATGTAAAGAAGCAACTTTTTAACTTCTAATACACGAGGCTTATAACAGCTCAGATCTTATATCCAGCTGCAAGACCTTTTTGTCTCTCTCAATCCAAGTTTCCAAGGACTCCCATCCTTTCCACCCTTAAGTTAAAGTGAAATAGAGAATTTCGGAGGGTCATTTTAAAAAAAAGTTTCAGGATCAATAACAATCATTTAATATCAGGAAGTTTTACATGAAAGCTGAATTTCAGACATTTGACTTCTATGATATCTTGAGTTTACTAAGTTACTTCGGTTAGGACATTCAGTAACTGCTATACAGCAGCCTACAACAGGTGAAGAATATATAGATGGTTTAAAGAAATTTTTATTTAAAACCATAAAAAGTTTACTATGAATATTGTTCAAAGCCATAATCAAGGACCCCCGAACCCCTTGATAAGTTCAGTTGCTTTGTTTCTCATATAAACTCATTTTAGTTCTGGAGATTAACAAATGTCTCTGAAGCTATTATATAATGCAAACAAGACATAACAACCAGTAGATAATTGTGTCAACAAACCAAAATATTGAAAAACATAGTTCAAGGTATCACCTCACAGGACTGCTTGCTCTCCATTATCTTTAATATAGAGTCTTTCAGTGCGTGGTGAACAAAACTTGTTGCTGTGGCTTTCATATACTGCTCCATAAGTGTACTTGCTAAAGTGGTTGCACGAAACAAGGTAGTAGCTTCATCTGAGGTGCGGAGGGAAACACAGAACCCAGCCAAGTTGACAAAAGGACACACCAAAAACAGAGGAAAAAAAGAGTTTACACTGATACATGTTGTAACTAAAGGAGGAAGTAAAAAGGATGGTGCCCAGAGCCCCTCCCTCCCCACCTGCCCAGAGTTCCAGTTAAGTTTAGTGTAATTTAGTGCAGTACCTTCCATGCTGATCTCCCTGTCATTTAGTGTTCTTAACAACAAGGACTCAAGCCTTTCATGAAGAAAAATCTTCAGTAAAATGCCAGCCACCAGTGTTCTATCCTGTCCACAAACATGGGATAAGGCATAGACTACATGAAGTTCTTTCTGGAGAACAAGCTGAAAGAAAAACAGAATTTTAAAATATTCAGAAGTTTCTTCTAACATGTAACAGCTTTGGAAAAAGTGATGTAGTACACCTGTAGTGACATATAGATGTCACTATAAATATAACAATGGTGTCAACCAGTGTTATCGAGATCCATCTCAAACAGCCAACAAAATGGGTTTTGACAGATAAGCCAAGCACAGTTAAACACCTTCATACCTCTTTGAACTCATTGTACTCCTCCTCTGGCATGATCTTCTCCATGGAATATCGTGCTCGAACACGCAATGATCCTGGCTCAATACCCTTTAATGGCACATGGGAACTGAGCTGAAACCACTCATCAGTTGCATGTCCTTTTTGTAATCGGCTTAACTGGCAACGCATAAACACTTCAGGAAAAAAAGCATTGTTGAAATAAGTTATCTCCAGCAAAACAGTGCTACTATTGAATAAAAGCACAGTTTATTTTCAGCACATCATCTCGTTTCATCAAAAGAGTGTCCATAACACTAATCAAAATTTTTGACATCAACGCATTGACAGATTTTCTCTTCAATGGCTTAACAGACTTATGTAAACTGAGGAAGAAATATGTAGTATTCTGTAAAGAATATATACATATACATTCCAAAATGCTGCACAGATATTGACAGTTTTCTTTGTTGCACCCAAGTAATGAGCAAAAAAAGGGTGCTACCCTGCAAATCCAGGTAGCAGTCAGAAACTAACACCAGATAAAGTGTTCAGAATTCACTGTCCTCGTTCCAGCCACTAACACCATCAGCTCTGCTCCTTCACCACTTTGTTACTTCTTACCATTTATTATAGTGTTGCTATGGCTTTCCCAAACACTGCCATATGCATTGCTTTTATACCAACTCCCAGGTTATGGCTGTAACAATTCATGCAAATTATGTAAAAAAAGTGTACCCATGCAAACTGCTGGCTAGATAATGATGAAAGTCAGCTCGAGAATGGTCAAATCATGAATACACCTCTCAGTGGTGTCGATACCTGGAAACTGCCAAGCAAAGACCTGGACTGCAGCGGAAGCCGGGTCCAGCAGCTGGCTAGCAAGCTGCAGCAGTGGGAGCACAGGCCCACGTGCTCCTAACGGAGCTGTTTTGCACAGAAAGGGCCCCAGCATTTGCAGAGCCAACACTGTGCCTGTGGACCACCCATTGCCTATTTCATGTTCTTCAGAGATGATAAACTGATATAAGCTAATGCATCCAGATCAGGTACTGTGAAAAACAATTCATCCTCGCCTGTTACTTATCACCAATGTGAATGGGACGATGTCTTTAGACCAGACAATCAACTGACTTTCCTAGAATACTTCTCCCCAGCATCAAAGCTCCTGTGCCTAGAGCTAAGCAATGTGGCTTTCCTCTTATTCTGCTTGCACATGAGGCACGTATATCTCAGTGAGAGGAATGGTGAATAAAATACAGGATCCAGAATAAACTGATGATTTAATTTTTCCCTGTGGTTACAGCAGCACTTCAGAGCTTTAACATAAATGCTATGATCGTCTTGATTTAAAAGGGAAGTTCAGAAAAGAAATATCTGTCTAAAGACTGCAAAACAGTTGCTATCATAATTCATATTCAATAGCTTTGATCCAGTAGGCTACCTTCAGTAAGAGACTGCTATTAGTTGAAAAGTTCAGGATATTTACACTTTGCAATCTTGAAGATGTAGTAAGAAACAAATGTATGGAAAAGCACATAAATAAACAATAGTTGGTCACTTCAACAGACACAGGTAAGAATTCTCCTGACAATGATCTTGATCCAGAAAGAATCACAGTATTTTACATGATGAATACTAGTAAAAAAAAAAAAAAAAAAAGAGTAAGACTGAGGTTTCTTAATGGTTTATTTGCTAATGACACTTTGGGCACAGGATTTAGTAACAAGATTGTATTTTGATAGACATTATACCTGGGATTCAAAGTGAAAAGTATTTTAAACTCAGGTTTGGTTCCAGACTGGAAATGAACCAGAATTTACTGTGAAGACTTTGTCTAACCCTGCCAGAACGTAATAGAGCCATCAAAAAAACCCTGCAAAAAAATCTAATTATTGATTCAGAATAAAAGCCATTTGGAATCCTGAGAAAGAAGAAATTGCTCAATACATGGACATACTAAATCCTGCCTTTCACAGCCCCAAGTCACTGCCACAGTAGCACAACCCCTCTTCCTATAATCTCAGCTAAGAGTTTCAGAAACAAACCTTGGCTCTACTGTACATAGTAACTGCACCTGGAAGGAAAGACATTGGTTAACACTTTGTTCCACAGACTTGCCTGCACGAGGTGACCACCTCCACTGTGAAAATGTTTCCTTTTCAACATGAACTAATTTGAAATTTACCCTCTACCACGGTACAAAACCAAACCAGAACTTCCACTCCAGTTCAACACTGTGAGATACTGTCCGGAGAGATTTACTAATTCAACTGTCTAATCATACCTGAGCATCACAGTTTGCAGCAGCAGCAGCAGCATAGTCTACTAATACATTCCAGGGTCCTCCCCCCGCCTCCCCCCCCTCCCCAAGTCACATTAAATATATTTGAATAAATCCTTATGCAATTTACAGTTACAGAAATAAAAATTTAAATAGCATTGATACTAAGCTATTTGGTATCATTTCTGACTATTTGAAATGCTTTTTAAAATAAAAAATACTAAAATAATTATGGAATACACATAATAGTCAAATTTCAAAGTCAAAGGCTCGAAGACTCAGCAAGTATTTCAAAATACTGAAAAAAACCAGCCTTCATACTAGTAACATTTAGGTATTTCTGTGCGTTTTGATGAAAGAAAAAGCAATGAAACCAGTAACAGTGTCTCAGGCCTTCATTCTGCATTACATGGTGGGAAAAGCAAGCAGAAAAGCTGACTTAACCCAATTAACTGAAAGATTAGTACTACCAGCTTCACGTGACTCTCAATTCATAGCAGCTCAGACTTAACAGCTGTGGCTGAAAAGGAGAATGTTCAAGAAAGGAATCATTTCTCCTGCCTTTCAAGAGTTCAAGGGTTATTCAGGCAACACAGTACATAGATATGTTAGATACGGTCTGGTTTTCTCCCCTGTGCTTTGCATATTTGATAGGGCTGGGACCGTAAGCAGAGATGTGTTCTTTCAAGCTGACTTAGTCTAATCCTTATCCCAAAATGAAAGGACTGTTGGGTTATGCTGCAAGAATATACCTAACTGCAATCAAGAAACTTGGCCAATCCTGCTCCTGACCTAGATAAGGAAACCTTCCATTACCTCCCATCATCTGGATCCATCCAAAGCCAACACAACCTCCTTAATCTGGACAGAGAGGAGGAAACTATAAAAACACTTTTAAAGAAATTACTGAAGTATCCTATTCAAGAACTATCCTTTTAAAGGATAGTTTTACTAACCAGAGCTTTGGTGTAGATAAATAATGAGTTTTGCAGGTCAGATGAATACAAGACCAAAAAATGGTAACAACTGCAATTCCGTCTGCCAGAGGGAATGTATCTTTTTCTTCCCACTATTCAGAAAGTTTTCCAATCAGAGGAAGAAGAAAGTTTTGAAATTGATTTAGGTTCTGCAACAGCATTCAAAATGAGTAGCAGTTCTTCTACTTTGGCCAAGGTTTCCCTAC